CATTTAATTTGTTTAATTTTTAATAATTGTATTTGCCATTTTTATTAGTTTTGAAAAGTTTACTTTAGTTTAAATCTTTTCAGTACTTCAGCTTAAGTTTATTTCAGGTATTTAATATTTTTATTTTATTAATATTAAAACAAAAATTTTTTAAACCAATAAAATATTTATTTGAAATGGATTTCATTAATAATAACAACTGTTCTGAACCCTGCTTAATCGTAAAGCTAATCTACACATTCATGTGCTCTTTAGCAGAAATCTAGCATAATTGCTCTCAGAATTGCAATGATGTAACAACCGCTTTGAACATCTAGGGTCTAGCACCCATCCAAATCACCCTAAAAAATACTGAGCGACGCTGACGTTGTGGTGGCGAGAGTTGCTTGGACAGGCATCACTCACATTTCCTTCTGAAATTGTAAAAGTTTTTGTTTTGAATCCTCTATGGTCTGTCATCTCGGTCTCAGGTTCTGGATCTCGGTAAAGAGTTGATTCTTCTCGGTCATGCTGTGAGCTGTGAAGATGAAGGGATTGGGCTGAGGGGAGACTGGGATGAGTCCAGATCACTGCAGAAGATGCTGGTAAGATGCATATGAATTGTGTTATACAGTGTATTACAGGTGGAAGCAGCACTAGGAGAATCATTGTTTAATTTTTGTACAGGACGACATGACCGGAGCAACATCAGAACTCAGTATGTCCTGTATCAGTTTGTCAGGTACGTTTTCTCAGGGTGGTTCCTCAGAAATGAATTGAGACGCTTTAACTTCCTTCATGCAATTTATAATTATTTTTACATTTTCTTCAAAATTCTGCATGCATCACATGCTTAAATTCTGCCACATACACTGTTAAAAACCTTGAGGATAGTACATTTTTTAAATTATATTTTTATTTAGCAAGGACACATTAAAAGTGACAATAAAAAATATATATTTATATTTCAAATAAATGCAGTTCTTTGAACTTTTTCTATTCACCAAAGAATCTTGAAAAATCATCACAGTTTTCACAAGACTATTAAGCATGTTTTCAACATTGTTGATAATAAGAAATGTTTTGTGAGCACCAAATCAGCATATTAGATTGATTGACACTTATCAATGGAGTGGAGTAATGGCTGCTGAAAATTCAGCATTGCTATAAAAAATAAATTCCATTTCACAATATAATAAAATAGAAGACAGTTATTTTAAATTGTAATAATATTTCACAATATTTCTGTTTTACTGTATGTATTTGTTTCTTTCAAAAACAAAAAGAAAAAATCTTACCAACCCCCAACGTTTGAAAAGTAATGTATTTCAGTTCAGCAGAGTTTAACCAGTCCTCGGGATGGCGTATTTGAAGGTACAGCATATCCACGGATAAGCAAGCAGCTGGAATGGTTTTCATCTCTCACAAGCTCTTTGGAGATGGAGCGAGCAGACGTGGACCAGAGCCTGTGTTTTGGACTCATGTCTTCCTCTTCCTTAATCCACTCCACTCCATCTCAGAACCTGAGTGATCTGGTCAGCCAAATACTTGAGTCATCTTCCTCCATGCTAGACCCACCAATCCAATCAAATAACTTAACCCCTGCATCACCATTACACGTGCCATCAGTGCAGGAAATCTCATCTTCGTCTCCATCTTGTGTGGAGGCTGTGACATCAGCGCTAGATTCCTTCACTCTTAGTGATGACGTTTTCCTTGGGACGAACTCTTACAGCAGGAGGAATAAGATGACATCTTCTGCATTAGAAGAGACTGGTTCATCTTGTACGGTGGACAGTTCCAGTGGAAATAAAGAGAGCAGCAACAGCAGTGATGGCATCAGAGGAGTGTGGTATTACCTCACTTCCTCTAGGGACTCCTCTGAAGCGTCTCTCAGCACCACCATGCCTCAGTCGTCCACTACATCATCATCTTATTTGACAGAATCTTGTGATGAAACTGCTGCTTCCTCTGGCTCTGTGATTGAACTGAGTTCCGATTCATCCAGGAGTGCTGAAGATGCTGAAATGCCACTCAGACCAGCTAATCGGGCTCATCCACACCCGAATCCAGAGGTCATCACTCTGAGTGACAGTAGCAGCTGTGTAAGTGACCTAATTAACCCTTCTGAAGAGCGGAAACATAAGTCCTTTACAGAAGGAAATTTAGATGAACCAAACCCACTAAAAAGTGATGTGAAATGCCGGAGGTCAAGCTTGTGTGATGAAATGCTACGTAATGAAGCAGGAAGTGCAACTGAAGGAAGAGGACAAGATTTTCAGGAACTAAAGAACATGGATTTCAAAACTGAAACAGTCAAGAGTGGTGAAGACAATTCAAGAGGTGTAGCTTTTATATATAACTTAACGACACACTGGAGCACATTGGATCTCTGTGGGATGTGACTGGTTTTCACTGAAGGGCTTTAATACACCTTGCTACAACTTTACACTTCACGTGGGTTTTAGCTTCAGTGGGAGAGATGCTTTCTGTTTTATTACTGGTGCTCATTTAAGGTGAAGGGTTTTCAAAAAAACGTAACTCTAAATATCTAAGTTATTAATGTAATTATGGCTTTAAATTCTGGAAACGTTTAACTATTTAAATTAGACAAGCTGCTGCTTATGACTTTTTTTTAAATTTTCATTTTTCTTTATGGATTATAGGGCTGGGCGATTTTGCAAAAAATTAAAATCTCGAGAATGTTTGATCGAATCTCGATTTTTTTTTATTTTATTTATTTTTTTTTTAACGATTTTTAACTAGTCAACTTGAAAGTGTAACTACAACGTGATTCAAGTTACTTTTTCTTTATTAACCCTCTAGTTAAAGAAAATTCTATTCCAAGTGCAACACACATGAAGTTGTCAACATGGTGTAAATGTTAAACAAATCACTTGTTAAATATCTTCGTAAATCGCCGACATGCGGTTGGATCGTTCTTTTCTCTTCGCTGTTATCACCGTCATATTGTCAAAGTGTCTTAATTCTAACATTTGGTAATATTTCTATTCAAAATCGCGATTCCTCGATTTCTAACAAATAAAATCGTGGCAAAACAATAAATTCGAATGAATCGATAAAATCGGGAAAATCGCCCAGCCCTAATGGATTATGGTATGCAAATAATGTAAAAGTGCTTTATCATTTTTCTATATTTTTTTTAATCATTTATTATTACTTTTATTGTATTTTTTAAACGTTTTTATATTATGCTTCATCTTAAATTTATTTTTAGTCAAGTTGCCTATTAAGCAGCATTTCTAATTTATATTTTATTTCAGCTTTATTTCAATTTATGAAAAAGATTTTTTTAAATATTTAGTTTTAGCCAACAATTATTATTAGTAGCAGGGTTTCATAAAATTTTTCCATCTAGGTTTTGTTTGATTTTTATTTTCATGCAAAGGCCTATTTTTAATCTGTTACAGGTCAGGCAACCTTAAAATGTCTTAAAAGCATCATTTAAATTTAGGAGTAAAATATTCTTGTATTGTGTCCTTTATATGATATATATCAGTTTTGCCCTGTTGAACGTCCCTTTTTTTTCTTTTTCTTTTTTCCAGAAGTTGCCTCAATTTCTGGAAGTGTGGATGACACTCTTGATGAGGAATTTAACTGACAAAAGACCAAAGATACGTATGCCTTGATATTGGTAAGCAAACATCAGTATAATCTCATATTATATATAGTTTGGATGCTCCTGTATATAATGTCCCATTTAAGAGCAGATGATTGATTTAATGATGTCACACTCGCTGTATTCTCCTCCCCAGAGACCAGTTGTTATCCTCATTTAGCATTCGACACATGCTTCCTGTCTCTGAAAAAGAGCCTTACTTGATTACGCCACCTGCTCAGACTGTTTGTATTTTCTGCATAAGTTCTCTCATTTAAGGAATGATATTCACAGTTTGTATCTTGTCTGAGCTTTTCTGGACTTCTGGAAGACATTTGATGGTTTATTTTTACTGTTTACTGTTCTCATTGTGTTCATCTCATTTACAAATATAACGTTATGTCAGTCATTCTTTGCATTGCGTTGATCGTCTGAAGAACAGATGAAAGCCAGTTAAAGAGCAGAGCTCAGGGAACTCATGATTGAGTTAGTTCGAAACCTCAGTATTCTTGCAGTGTAGCACCAAAGCTCCTTTGGGTTGTGTTTAGCAGTGATATGATGGTTCAGTTTATGTTGATGGATCTTTTTTTGTGTGTGTACTGTTTGTATTCTGTTTCTCATTTTCTTTGTCAAGTTATTTATGTTGTGAATTGAGATTTATTACATTGAATGCTATGGTATATGTGTATACAATCAAATAAAGACTATTATTATACCCCATATATTTTAATGACTTGTTTTAGCCAGTTGAGTGAACGGTCCTTCAATTGTTTTTGGATCATTGTTCTACGATAAAATGGATGAACACGGTTTTTAATAATAATAATAGAATTATTCAAAGTTGTTATAAAATA